TTATACTCACGCTGTGATCAGCAGCAGCTGGATGCAATAATCGCATGCCAATGTGCATTGGCTCGTTTAGTTTACACTCGAAGTGGATTGGTCTCTCTAAGCGAGATCCCAATTTCGTCGGTCAGCCGACGTGACGTCTCCGTTCCCTCCTTCAGGTAACGAGGGTTACATACGTAACCGAGACGTTACTTAAATACCATTAAGTAATAATCAGTATTACTGTATAGTTTCTTTAGTATTGTATACCAATTTATGAACCCAGGATAATGAAACCTTAACCCGTAAGCTCTGTCTAGACTCTGTCCCGGTACGAGCTGTGTCGAGCTATTCATTAATCTGGTTGTTTGATGAGAAAAAGATGAAATGTCGTTGTAATAAGCGCATCGCCTCGCGGAACTGCGGAAGAACTGGTGAAGGCACGGTTTGATCTTTGGCTGACCAATCAGCAGAAATGGGCGTTTAATTCCCACCCACGTGTAGAATCAATATTCAAGCTGTTTATACATTTTTCTACCCCTGAACGAAAAAATAAAAATTAAGCTGAATTCTTGTTTTTCGTTTCTTGAGAAAAAATGAAAAAAGAGCTGTTTTCTCATTTTTCTACTTTCAATATTAAAACAAAAAACGAGTGAACGATTGATTCCCGATTTTGGTTTTCTAATTTCAAAAGTAAAATCCATTGACCGCCAAGTACACGGACCGATGGCCGTTACCGTTTGAATTTCAAACTGCGTCATGTTAGTGAAGGCTGCTGGGTCCTATCCTCTGCAGGTTTTATAAAGTGTCCTCAATGTAGAAAAAAATCAATTACATACAGAATCTATCGCGGTGGTATTATCTTCAGCCTTTGGTAATATACAGAATTAATATCTTCCGTCTTCGCGGTTGCTTGCGCCATCATGTTTAACTTATGTCCCTTCAGAATGAGACAAGTTCATTTCGCGGCTAATTTCAAAGGGTTTATTTTGCTTCAATTACCACCTGAAAACACATTAAACATTACCATTACAGTGTTTTTGCATAAATATTTATAGACTGTGGAAGTAAATAACTTACTGCCTTTTGACAATACGAAAAAAGCAGCAAAAGTCTTTTGAAAATGCCTGTGGTGGCACAAGTACTCATGCTCGCACGCGTCTATCGGAAGCGCATATACTTACTTGCCGGCAACCCGCCAAAATAAAAGCCTGCTGATTTTAAGTTTCAAAATGATGAAAATTCATATAAAAAAAAAGTAGTAAATATTAGCATTTTATTTTTTAAGTGTACTATATAATAACTGTATTTGTATTTAATACTCCCTTTTTATTTTAAAATATTTAAATGTGGACTTTAAGTTTGAAAATGACATAAATTTATATTAAAAAATTATATAAATTTATATTAAAAAATAAGTAAATATTAGCATTATATTTTTAGGTTTACTATATAATAATTGTATTTGTATTTAATACTCCCTTTGTATTTTAAAACATTTAAAATTATTTATAATAGTATTATCACACTTTATTCTTTTTTTATTATTTTACTTTAACTAAATAAAGTGCAATAAAATTATCTCTATTATTTATTTATTATTTATAGTTATATATATTTATTTATTTAATGGGTCACACTATGTGTAGTGTGAGGACCAAACTAAATATCCAGGTTCTCTTATGAGAACCAGGCTGAAAAATGTATGTGCACCTCTGTCTAGAACACATGCACAAAGGAGCCACATGTTCGACCTTTTCATTGAAAACAAAGAAATTAAGTTCATTGAACTTAATTGCAATGGGGCGTGGCAGAGTCTTAACTTTGATAAAGAATATCTCTTTGGTTTTGAGACTTTAGTCTTTGCAACTTCAGGGATCTTATCTATGGACAATCAGCTTGTAACACTCCAAAGAGAAAGGAAAACTTGAAATCGCATCATATGACCCCTTTAAGTAACAGAAAGTAATACAAACTCGATCAAACTGAGTGATGCCAACAGAGCAGAAACAAATAAGATGAACGTAATTTTACTAAGTTAATAGTGCATCATCTTTTACAGTGTATATATCAGTGGCGAGCGGTGACTTTTTTAACCGGGTATGCTGAGTGATAACCCCCCACCCCCCCATCGGTTTTTAGGACACGCAAAAGGGATCACAGATGACAAATAAGAAACACCATGGCAGGTGTCGATTTAAAAGTATGCACATTTCCTACCTTATTTGTAAATGAAATTCATCTCCAATCCTTCTATCTTTTCAGGTTTATCCATTGTTTTTCGAATGCAAGAAAAATATAGCTGGTTTTCCAAGTAAAAACCGCCAAATAAGGTTTACACGTAGTTATGTTGTGATACGTAGGCTAATCAGAAGGTGGGGAGATGGGGGAATTCCCCCAGTCTATATGTCTCTCTGCATCAGCTAAATTATTTTTTATTAACAGTGAATAGGAGTTAAAACTCCTACCCGGGTGACATAACAGACCATGCAAAATACCCAAAAGTATTTAAAATATTGCAACGTAACGTTGCAAACTTGCAAACAATAATAAAATCAGATAAGGACTTCAACTGTAAGTGACACGAGCATACGCAAAACAATATGTTTGTTATTATTAAAATTGTATATAGCCCACGTAAAATTTTATATAGCCCATATAGTTTTTATAAACATTTTTTTTTAATTTACTGCTTAGGCAATAACTTTGAGATAACAAACTGACATAGAATCAACGTAGAATCGACGTTTCTCGTGGCGTTGAAATTATGTTGATCGCCGACGTCGATCCAACATCGTTTTGCTCATCGGGGTAATGTTGATCCAACGTCAGGCACGCCATTCAAAACTAACGGAAAATCGATGCAATTGTTTTACTTACCTAACTTTGAATCGACATTGATTTTCAGTTGGTTGAAACGATGTCACAGAATCAACTCTTATTCAACATAAAATCAATCTAATTTGTTTCCTTACCTAACGTTGAAACGATGTTGATTTCAGCTGGGTAAAATTACATTACTATTAACATTTTCTGCTTGTTTTAAAAATCTCACATAATTAATACTAGATAAATTAGCCTGTATATGTAATAATTTATTAAACACACATCACATTCAGTCACAATGTCTTTATTATTTATACAATACAGTTTATACACAGTTACAAATGCATGTTTAGAGCACAAACCTTCTATGTAAGTCTAGCAAAGAAAATGCATTTACACTCAAATACACACAAAGAGGTATAAAGTATATTATAGGCTAATATAAATAGTGTAAAGTAACAAATTAAAAGCTATATTCACTTAAGAATAAAAATATCATATTATTACCAAATGTGTTTGACTTTTATTTTCAGTGGGGCACAAAGGCAGATGCAAGGCAGAACATTAAGATACTGACAGCCTCAGTCACTGTTCAGTATCATTGCTTTTCTAAAATATATATATATATATATGTATGTATATATGTATGATGGATTTTGAACTGTACTGATACGAAAATACAGTTTTATTGTGTCATTGATGTACTTTCAGGGAGGAACTTGTGAACAAATCTACTTCACACCACATCAATGAAAGCAGACGGGCAGACGACAATTACAGACGGTTTTATTGGATCAGGGTCAGATCTGAATTCTGCAGGTAGGTAGATCTCCAGGAACAGGATTGGGCAGCCCTGTTATATTGGTAATGTATGATGGATTTTGAACTACTGTTTTTATTGCAGGTTTTCTGGGATGACAGTTGAGGACATCAGCACATCAGATGTTGGCCTGGACAGCTGTACCTACAGTACACCATACTGGCCTCTCTGCTTTTGCATGGATGGCTGACTACTACCATGTTCTGTGAAGGTATTATTATAGCAAACATGAGCACCTTTGACAGTGGAATTTGTAGTTGTAATGAATAGTCACACCTGCAAAACACATTCACATACTCAAATCAAAAATGTAAAGTTATGAGCAAGTTTTGCACATTTGCATAGTACATAGGTTATACAGTCGTAGTCAGAATTATTGGTAAATATGAACAAAGAAGCCTGTGAAAATAAATCTGCATCATTAATCCTTTTTGATAAAAGAACAAAAAGGGGGTGGGGGGAAGCTCATTAGGAAATAAATGTTTTTCTCTTATACACATTGGCCACAGTTAATGGCACCCTTTTATTCAGTACTTTTTGCAATCTCCTTTTGCCACAATAACAGCTCTGAGTCTTTACTATAATGCCTGATTTGTTGATAGGGCGAGTTGTGACATGCGACGGGAGTGCAGACCACTTTGTCGGTTGATGTACGCAACGGTCGCAGTGTTGTCCGTGCGGTGTTCGACCGAGTCCAACTCCATACCGAGAAAAGAGATCCTCTGC